TTCTAAAATATGTTATGCTATCTACGTATATCTTTTCATTTGGACACAGTATGAGGCATCCATACTTCAAGACAATTGCCAGTCCCAGACACAAGCAGAAGGAAATATTATTGGGTTGGGCACCCCAAGACGTTGTCTGATTGCAATGGGGAATCAACTCTGCAACAGAGAGGCAACTGAGGAAAACAGCCCTTTAGCCACAGTGGCTCCAAGTACCTTAGGTAGACCAGAAATTTTTAGAGAATCCTGACCCACAAGCAGGTTTTTTTGGTTTGTTGTTGAGTTGGGGGGGGAGGGGGTGTTGGCTGATTGGAAATAATGTAGGAAGCTTGCTGTGGGCTATACTTTGTCTTTTGGGTCCCAGGAGTTGGATGTTCAATAACCCCAGCAGGCAGGGCTGGCAGCATCAACAGGAAGGCTGAATTCTGGAGATACTGCCAGGTCGAGGAGAGCTGAGGTGTAGCTAGATGAGAGAGTAAGAAACTTTACTTGTTTTGGTTTTGTGTGGTCAGTTTTGCTGGAATAATTCTTTAATAACATTTTTTCAATTCTTTTCATTTAAAAACAATCTGACAAGTTTTATAAATGATGCTGTATGTTGAGGCCAAAGCTCAGGCACAAAGAGTTGTACCTTGCCCTGAAGACATCAAAACCTAATTGCATCTGATAGAGAGTCTGTAGCCGGAGAACTCACCCAAGAGCGCCTCCAAGAGCCTCCCCCTGGCCTCCATCGGTTTCAGTGCTCGTCTTGAATGCTGCAGCCATCTTGTACCCCTCAAAGAAACCTCTGTATGGCTACACTACAGACAGCTGAGTTCACTTTAAATGAACTACCTCAGGTACTGGAAGTAGCCATGGCAGTACACAGCTCCCAGCAAGCTTTGCTAATTTACCCTGCTTCTGCTTTCCTTTGGGCTCCTCAACTATGCAGCAAGGCTGTTTTCAGTACTCACCTGAGCTGCAATATCCCTATACTTTGGGCCTTGTTACATGGTAAATGTAGGCAGCTTCTGGAGTTCTTAACCCATGGACCGGCTGCACGTTAACATCATTTAAATGTCTTAAGGCACTCATTATTCAGCTTAGAGTTACACCATTCCAGGACAGGATTATTTCCAATCCACCTAGCTGTTTTCCTGTTCCATTACCATATAGCCACTTCCCGTAGCTATTCCACCCAAATTGAAGTCCTTCAGTATCCCAGAATACTCTGAGTGCTGCAGGGCCTGATCCTTTTTTCCCCCAGAGTGCCCAGCAGCTGAAGTGCCTCCCACTGCTGCCCAGACCGGCTCGGAGCAAGCGAGCTCCGGGTTTGCAGCCCTGGAACGCTCTGGTCTTGCTGAAACGGACACAGCGGCTCTGCACTGAGAACAGAGCTGTCTGGACTTAAGTCCTGATAGCCCTGATCTCAGTCTGGAGCCACCACATCCGTTTCATCAAGACCAGAGAGCATCAGGGAAACTGCTTCTCTGTCTCACTAAAATTGAGATAGTGGTGGGCCCAGTTTCTGCCAGGCTGGGTCCTGCTCCTGCTCACCAAGCCTCTAGTGAGAAGTCACAGCTGTGCAGTGTAGTGGGCAAACTGAGTTATGCAAAGACTTTTAACCATAATCCAGGCCTTCCCAGAACTAAGCAACAAACTTGAACAGAGTGCCTTTAAGCACTGGGAAAAGTGAGTGCTGGGCACTAGGTGAGCAAAGGACAGCAGTTTCCCCAGAAGGAATACAGCTGACACAGTGCCAGGGGATCGGTGCACCATGTAAGGAATGCATGGCTCAGAGCCAGAGCATTGGGCAATTTGGGAATGGAGAAGTTATAAAAGTGATGGACAAACAAAGGAACACACGTGTGTGTGCTGTGTTGCCACGTTGGGGAGACAGGAACAACCTTGGACTTCTTGTTTGAGCAACAAGGAATCCGGAAACTAACATCCCACACACCCAGCAAGGGATCAGGATCTGAGGCCGGTACCACCAAATGTCGCTGCTATAATGCCTGAAGGAACTGCTTGCCAGGTGATTTTGCAGGGAAGAATACTTGTAATAAGCCTAGGGGTCAGTATTAAAAGTTCACTTGGTACCAAATCAGACATGGGGCTGTGCCAATCTTTGGGGGTCTCTGGTAAAAGGAATCCTAGGGGCAACATGCAGGTGAAGGGCAGTCAGAGCAGGTTTTTTGACTTACTGTGCGATTGCTCTACTAAGCTGATTAACATTTGTTCGGCTTACAGTGCAAGGTCTAACAAGGCCCATGATGCAGTCGGTAGATATTCTTGAGAAAAAGTCACTAGAGCCAAACTCACTGAACATTTTTAAGCTGTGGACCAGCAGCCACAAATTAAAGCCAAGCTTGATCCAGAGTTTGGTTTAACACAAACACTAATGCTGCAGGGTTGAACCTCTTCTGGAGCTATTCTAGGGTCAACAATAAGATGTTTCATTACATTCAAAGATGAATCTGAGCACTGATCAAGTGCCCAAATGTCCACCCAGTGCTCCATCCAACTGGAGAACAAATTTATCCATCGCACGGGATGTGAGGGTTTATATTAGCCTGTGTAAGCTGCCATACAGGGCCTTGCACTCAACAGAGCTCTGATCTGGAAAAGATACCAATTCCCAGTCATGGAAATGAAGAGAGTAGTAATTTGCTCCTGTTTTTGCCCTGGTGAATCAATGTGCACTCTTTTTAAATTGGGCTGTTAACCATTTACAGAGTGGATTGAAGCTTCTTACTCACACTGTGTATCTTAAAGGAGGGACTGGTTTCTGGCAATGCACAATCACTGTGCTACCTCTACCATATGATAAAGCTTGGACTTTAAATAGAATATCATTACAAAGGAATTTGATTTCAGCCTACATGCAGATGGTAAAAAAAGGTACTTTAGATATGGATATTTGCTAACTGATAACTGGCTCTCACTACCATATGCAACAAGGAAATATGAGAGTGTTATAAAGGAGCCCAGAACCTGATCAGGTTCTATTTTCTAAAAGAGAATCAGAGACTATTCACACCTAGCAGGAAAATAAAAGTGAGCAAAGATGTCCAAACTGGAAACTGCAATGGGAATGATCATTGCTGTCTTTGACAGGTATGCAGCAACTGAAGGCAATAAGCTAACCCTTACTAAAGCAGAACTGAAGACTCTCCTGGAAAAAGAGCTCCCTAACTTCTTGGAGGTAAGATGATATTTTAGTATAATTTCTGTATGACAAACTGAAAAGTGCTTTGTGTTCTGGGCTATGTCCTGAAATCATTGGTGTTGTAGGAAAACAAGTGGGTACCTCTTAGATCATTATGTGGACAAGGTGGCTTTTAAAAGGAAGACCCATCACAGCACTGAACTACTATATCACTCCCATTTATCAGTACTATCATCTATTTTTCTAGTGATCAGAGCAGTGGCACTGATACAGAATACTTCAGAAGTCATCTGCTCCTGCTGTTTACTCCGCAGCAGAATTTGTAATCTCAATATGATGCTACTATTAACTGCTGTGAAGGGATTCTGCTGTTTGCAATCGAGGATGAAGCAAACAAATGGGGAATCTTTCCATAAAGCGATTTATACCAGACTTATAACTGTGGTATCTGAGCATGTACACAAAGAGATTATATAAAGAACAGCAACAGTAGATGAATTTAGAAAATTCGGTTTAGCAAATTATTTTAATACAGTAATAATGAAAAGAAACTAAATAACTAAAGAATGTTTCATAGAATATGAGCACTGTATTATCAGGAGGTGCTTTTCAATGGTTACACTTTATAGTCGTCTCTGCCTCTGTACAAATCCACAAATTCTGCTCTTACATACCTTGCTGCTGTATTAAAGAGTCTGCATTTCTGTAGATGCAGAATCTTTCCCATAACTGCAAATGTCTGGAGTAGATCCAAGGGGACGCTTTTGGCTCTGCGGTGCATATACAGTGAGCTCTCTGAATTCAGTGGCACATCAGTGTAGCTCTTGCTGGAACTCTACATCTAGCATAAGCTCTGAGTTCATCCACTGATTTGTCAGCTCTGGCTGGAACTCCTGCTGTTATGCAGCTCCAGAGCCCAGGGGGTGAGTGTCACTTTTGTTGCTCCCTTCTTTTCCCCTGTTGCTGAATTCATATAGGAGCTAAAAGGGGCTGGGAACCAATCAGAAGGGAGGGCAGTCATGGCAGCATCAATCCATTGGACTCCAGAAACATGCAAGAGCAGGGGATTCAGCCAGAGCCCATGCCAATCTGCTGGTGAGCTCAAAGAGCTCACAGCACGTGCCACACAGCCAAAGGACATGTGGCCACATACCCCTCACCGTGATCCTGGATCCACCCAAGTAGGTGTCTAGGATCAAATGTTAGTAAGTAGCTTCTGTTGTCCACCCTTGTGACACTGAATGTACAAAACCTGTCCATAATTAATCATCTAATTAGAGCACCAAGACCTGTGCATTTGACGTATTCTAAACAGGCAGTAGCAGAGCTCTGCAGCTGCCCCATGACAGCAGGCTGCCCCCTACTCCACAGCAGTCACTGCCAGCTCTCACTGCACGGCATTGGGTGCGTGGAGCAGGGCACTGCTGGAACTCAGGGGTTATGGGAGGCTGGCCCAGTTTGGGGCTCTCTGGGGCTGGCTATGCTCTCCTCTGCTCCCCAAGGCTTGGTGGGGGCGGCAGGGCAGGGTGCCCACCCAGATGGGCTCAGTGCTAGTGGAGAAAGGAGCCCTTGGTCACTGTTCCTGGACCAGGGTGCTGAAGGCTGGGGGAAATAGAATAGCTAGGGGTGTGAGAGCTCACAGACAGAAGCGGGGGGGGCATCCTGGGATACTGGAGAACTTCAACTTGATCAATGCATCTGTGAGCAGTGGCCACAGCTTAATGGAACAGGAGCTGGGTTGCCAGAATCAGAGATAATCTTGCCCTGAAATGGCATAACTTTGAACCACATAACAAATACTTTAAGCCACTTTCAGGTGTTGATAACCTAGGGGTTAAGAGCTCCATGAGTTGCCCAAAGTTACCATCTAACAAGGCCCTAAGAAGCGACTAATCATTACATTCAGGACCGAAGTTAAAATAACTTCCAAAGCAAGAAGAAAAGTCCTTTCCTGTAAGCCAATGAGATTAACTCCACATGTTCACATGCAAAACTGGGTAAAATACAGGGGGGGAAAAAAGCATTTGCAAATATTCATTTGACAAACACATATTATCACTAGAAAATAAGTTATAATTAAAATCCCATTATTTGGGGTTTCTTAATATTCATGAGTACATTTTTGTTTACAAGAATGTTCTCAGAAATAGGGTGCTCTAAATATTCATGCAAATATACATTTTCACCAATATTCACACCTGTGGTAGCTGACTGCCATCTTGAAAGGTCTTTGTGAATCAATCAATTGGAGAGCAGAAAAAAAGCAGCATAGGATATAAGTAACGAAAGCACATTATTAAGAGAGCACACTGAAATTAACACCAACATCAACGTCCATAAGTAATCCAGAAACTGGTTCATAATTATTCCATGAATTCATGGAATAATTTCAGATTTCCAAATTCATAAAAATGGAAAAATTTCTTTGCAGATAATTGGCAAACTTAAAAAGGGATCAATATTCATCAGACACTGTTAAATGGGGTCTAGTCACATACCTATATGCTTGATGATTTTGGCACATCTTGGCTTATACTTCAATCCTTCTAGTTTTTTTAAATGGAAGATTGTATAAAATAAAATAATTGCAATTTAACTAATTAAAGCATGATGCCACAAGCCCCTCTGATTTCCATTATGCTGGTACATATTTTCAGTTCACAGTAAAACTCCAAGATACTTACATAACTTCATAAAACTATAAAATCAGACTTTTGTTAAACTACAAAAAAAAATTTCAGTTAATTATATTTTATGCTCTACTGCCATCCTCTGTTTATTTTGAAAACTGCAATAAGAGCATTAGAGTTAGTCAAAGCCTAGAATCAAGAAAGGCCTCTATAAGCTTTTTTTTTTTTTTTTTAATTTGCAGCTGAACATTTTATCAGTGTCAATTTTTCTGGATTCTCTTGTGCTTAATTTTAGGCTGCAGATGAAAATTGCGAGTAATTTGTGGTTCATCAATTTGCTTTGTGAAAGGTTGGGGGGAAAGGGGCATTGCTAATGAACTGTTTTTCATCCCATAATTCAGTTAGCTTTACAGTTAGCTGTCATGTGCAACCACAGCTTCTGTACACCAACCAACCTATTCACGGCACCAGGTTCAGCTGGAATGCCTGAGAGAGCAATCCCAAGATGTTCACAGGGGGAGGCTGTAGACAGCTCATTCTCAGTAAATGTACCTCACTTTGTTCCTACAGTTAGTCCAAGAGAGCTTGTCTATAGAACTACCAGCCTGTGTATTATATTATGGACCTTTCTGGGAGGGATAGATTGCATTTCCCCAACTGAATTAAATTCCTTTAGCATTTTGCAAATTTGATCATTACACTTTTTTTTTTTTTAAGTAAATAGTGTTTATGCATCTTCAGGCATACAGCATGCATTTAGACTAAACAAATACATTTAAAGGAAAGATTTGGCTCAAAAACCTTTGCAATACATAAAAAAAATTACCCTAGTGAAGCCAGTGGGAATTTTGCTGCAGACTTCAATATGTTGGAAAATGTGGTTTTCTAATATTATTCTTTCTTCAAAAAGATACACCACTCTCCTGATGAAGTTAGTCTTGCACTAGCATATACATTGCTCAAGTAACAAAGCTTAGCAGAACATGCTGTAAGCTAAGGCTGCACAAAGCTTCGGTCACCGATTCGATTCAGTGGAGATTTGGCCCAATTTGATGGCTGAATCTCCAATTTCGAATCAAATCAGGAGACCCTTTAATCTCTCTGAATTTAATCAGAACCCTCCAAATTGATTTAGATTAAAAAAGATTCAATAATTTGGACATAGACGCAGCTTTAAATGTTTTTTCTACATAACTCAAAGTATGAGATGGCTCATGAATACCAAGATGGTGGGGCAGATTGAGTGTCCCACAGGAGCACTGGAGGGGAGAGTCTCAGTGTGCTCGGCAGCAGACCCAGAAGTGGACCAGAAGCACTTCCAGTCCGCTCCCAGGTCCACCAGAGAGCATGCGGGGGCCCCCTCCCCCACGTCTCCCCAGCTCAGTGTCTGGTGCCTCCTGGGACTGGGGGGGCACCTGGGGTCCCCACCACATGTTTACCCGTGGACCTGCAAGTGGACCAGAAGTACTTCTGATCCACTTCCGGCTTCACTGCCAAGCACACAGGCCCCCACCCCCCCCCCCCGCCCTCGTGTGGGACGCTCCATCTGCCCCACCATCACAGCGTTCATGATATGCGTCTGGTCTACATACCTCGAGGTATGTAGAAAAAAATATTTAAAGCTGTGTCTATGGCCCAATTGCTGATTCTATGAATCAGCATTGAATCTCAGATTCAGATTTGGCCAAATCGAATCAGGGGCAATGATCCAAATCAATTAATCAAATCGCTGGTCCCAATTCAGGCCTAATCCAAATCAAATATGGCCCATTTCGCACACCTTTACTGCAGGCAAAATGAAAACAAAGCCCTGGGGAACTCAGCATGGATTTTTTTTCTTCAAAGGATATTAGAAATCAAAACAAGGTAATTGAAGCAATAGGAGCAATGGAAAAGCTTGATGTTCAAACCCAGCCTTGTAGCCATCATGCACATACCTCTATCTTTTGAGTGGCTTTTTCAGTCTTTTCCCAAACTGCCTTGGAAAAGGTAGTGAAGATGAGCTGAGGTTAATCGCTAGTTCGTGGTGAAGGAGGCAGTGCCTCTTCTCCACCCAAATCCCACATGAGTACTAAGATATCTGGGTCCACAGTAGTTCTCTTGTTCAATCAATTTATAATTATGGTGTTGCCTTATGATCTCAAAGCAAACTACTGGTCTTGTTACAATCTGCTCCTTTTCTTTTGTAGTCGGCAAAAGACAAGGATGCTCTTGACAAAATCCTGAAGAACCTGGATGAAAATGGAGATTCTGAAGTAGACTTCAATGAATTTGTCGTCTTTGTGGCAGCCATGACTTCCTGCTGTCATAAATACTTTGAGCAGAAAGGACCAAAATGATTGAAGAACAGCTTGTATATGAATCTGAGGTTATTCTGTATTCCACATGTTAATATTATTGATACCTTTCTTTGTTCCATGTACTAAGATACTTTTACGGGCAAACTGGGGAGTAAAAATATCTCCTACTCTGTTTATTATCCTGCCTTGAATGGTAATAAATTTTTAATGATTCTATTACTTGTGTCATTCGGTCTTTGTGTTTTTCCAAAAATATATCGCTTATACACCTTTTCTTTCTAAAAGTCTAGTCTTACAATTCTGGGTGAAAATCATCCCAGTGCAGTGAGTCCTCAGAGCTGTAACAGCCATTAGAGCACTGTACCAATTGAATCAGTATTTTCACTAAGGCATAGACTACAGAGATTCAAATTATTGAAGATTACAATCTACAACTATTATTCTATTTTTATATAATATAAAATTATTATAAAATTAATTAAATATCTATGGAATGTATATATATAAAAGCAATACCACCCTCTACTGCAGTTAGTTCAGTACAAGTGTGCATAGACCAATAACCATTTTTCTCAGAAGAGTATTTGCTTTACTGATATAAGGCATTGTATAATTGTATAAATGCATCCACAGTAAGGATTGTGCATTAAAACAAATTTCAGTGGAAGAAAGGAAGAAGGTTTAATTCTTTCAGTACAGAAGCTGTGGCTAGACTAAGCCTAACTTACTTTTTTTACTAGACTAGGCCTTATGCTTCCGTAACAAGCAACGGAAGAAGGACTGCTGTAGATGGATACATTGAGCTTTTCAGGCAACTGGGTGGAGAACAATGACTAACTTCTCTGGCTTGTAAAGACCCAAACAATCATGTAAATAATGATACTTTGACCCTTCTTCCCAAAATGGATTACAAAAAATAATGCATTTTAATTTATCTTCATGACCTTTCTGCTGTACTAGCTCCACTTTTTACCCAAGAAGAAGTTAGAGCCATATTTGCATGTGCAAGGTATGCATATACATTTTCAAACGCTCCTTGAATCATAATAAAATACTCTTGTAATGAATTGATTTGCCTACTTGTGCATGGGTAGGAGAGAGAATTAGTTTTTACTGAACCAAGTGCAACTCCTCAAGTTCATGTCATAGTCCAACAGCAAAATGAATGAGAAATGAGCAAAAAATGAATGAACCTGTTCAATCTAAGGTTCATTACCAAAAGCATTGTGAATGGAAAACAACTGCAACAGAAGTACGTATATTCACATTGTTCTGAAACTCTGGCTCAAGGTGACACAAAGAGTCATTGACAGGGGTACAAGTCTCCTTAAACCTAGGCATGTCTCTTAACTACAAAATAATTTTTTTCCTTCTCCTGCTGAGTCTTGGCAGGGTAAATTATCTGCCACCTGGCCCAAATAAATCCTACTTCAACTCTCAATTTTGCCAGTATTCTGTAGCAAAGCAGGGTCATTGGCATGTATACTAATACTCAAAGCCTCAAATTCAGGAGCAAGCTAAGAGCAGTAGGAATATACTTGGCTTCTGTTTAAGTGAGACTTCCCACCCTTTGTCTGTGCACCTTTCCTCAAGTAGCCCACAGGTTGGATACACAAATTCACCTTCCAGGAGAAAATTCACCTTCTTCATGTACGTGACAGAGCATTCCACGGTCTTTGCTTCTACCTGGCATCTTTCTACCAATAAGCAATTACAAGTCTCCTACTGCACAAAGGAAAGTGAACATTCACAAGACTGGTTTTTATACATGCATCACATTCTAATAAAATACCATTGCAATGAATTGGTGAGTCTGCCTGTGCGAGAGAGAGAGAATCATTCACTTCATCACTAGGATGAAGTACAACTCCTCAGTGTATCCTATTCCACACTCTGTTAATAGCAAATAGAGATATCCCTTTAGCAAAAATGATAAAGACCTGTTCTTTAGAGCAGGATGATCTAAGTTTTATCACTATCACTGCACAACTGCAAGTGACCAGAATATAGAGCATAAGGACAACTGTAAGTTCCTAGGTTGCCGTGGCTGTCTGTATCATCATGTACTGAACAGTCATGCCAACCAACCAATGCCCTCACACCTCAGAGTTAACTGCTATCTGTTAACAGCCTTACTGTGGTATGCTGATTTTCTTTATGCTGCCTCTTGAGATAACAAGTGTAATGATATCATGTGTAAATGAATAAAATGCACATCTATTCAGGGATCGCAACCCTATCTCTTGTGCAAACCTCTCTGGGCTTCTGGATGTATGAGCTACATCTCTCAAGTTTTAAACCAACTTGTTCCTTCCTACTGATAGATACACAGTTCACCACATCACCTTATTGTAACAAAATCTTACTGACCCTGACATGTTACACGCACCTTTCATGTCTTCACGCATACACTATCACCATTTTTCCGCCCTATAATTATACATATGAAATTATATATTAACCTCAATTACAGCAGTCTATCTTGATAATGTGTAAAACAGATCTGATATCACTTAAATTTACTTCAGTATACCTTATCTTTTTTTTTTTCTATCTAGCATTGGTGTTTATCAGGAAGCTCCATTTGCTATCAATATTTATCTTGATATTGTAATAAAGAAAAATGCTTTTATACCACTGAGTGGCACTAAATGCAACCTTTTTATTACCCAGGGAGCAAACAAAAGTTACTATTGTCATGACCCAAGGGGTATGATTTTGTGCATGCTTCGGCACTGCAGAATTATTTCCGGTGCAAAGGAGTTCCCGCCATTCGTATGCAAATTTGTGTCCTATCATTGGCCGATTCTAAATTATTCCCACGTGGCGGCTAGCGATTGGCTTGCTAGCCGTATAAGAGGCTTGAGCGGTTTCCGCCCAAGTTGGAGAACTCCGAGGAGAACCCCGCAAGGGAGGACTCTGCAACCATCTCATGGAGAACTCTAAGCACGCTGTGGAGCCTAACAAACTCCGCTTGTGCCTTAGAGGAGGATATAGGGGCCTGATCAACCTCTAGCCTCTCCCCATCGCTGCACAATCCCTTGACATACCCTACCCTGCGCACTCGTCGAGAGTCACCTTTCGGACTCTCATCTCGGTCGTTCCGCGGAGCCTAGCAAACTCCGTGAGTGTGTATCCAGAGCTCTGTTCGTGTTCGTTCTGTGGAGCCTAGCAAACTCCACGTTTGTTTTGTTTGTAACTGCAACTCAAGCAAGTTTTCCTGCCTGCACCGCGACCATCTACGGTGTAAGTAAAATAATCTTTAATTAACCGCTACGAGTCCGTGCCTAATTCTAGTCCATCATGCTAGAATCCCTGCCCAACCATTGCGGGCTCCCAGCCACAGCCCGCCGCGCGCCCCCGAAAGCCTCAGACCGCTCCCAGCCCGCACATGGCAATGAGGATGGGATCCGGAGAAAGCACGATGGACCTAGAACTAGTTAAGAACTTCCCTTGGCACAGTGGAAAACGCCAAGTAGAAAACTTCATGGAACTGGAGGTGCATATCGCTTACCACCAGGCAGGCGAAATGGGTGAAAGGTTTATCAGCGGACGTCTTTCGCTGAAGGGAGAAGAGGGAGCTTCCGAAGACGGAGCCCCGAGAGAGAGGGAAGTGTATCTTCACCCCGCGGCATTCGGGTGTATAATGAATGATGAGCGGGTCCTGTTTAGGCCCCTCCAGACTGTGTCCCTCGCCAGAGTCAACTCGGCAGGCGCAGTAAACCCGACCCTCACCCAGGAGTGTGCCCTTTGCTCGAGATGTGCTCTGGAGAGTGAGGAATTGGTGCCGATTGACCGGTTCACCCCCTTTATAATGGCGTCTAGATTGAGGGGTCGCGAGCTTCCATCCGAGCTCCGCAAAGATCTGGAGACGGAGGAACGCGCCGCAGATGAGAGGGTAGCCCCGAAATACGACAAGGGGAGAATGTTAACTGCAACATTTCGTACTGTAACTGATTTAATGCAGAAGAATGCAAGTTTGAGAGCCCAGCTGCGTATGGCCGTTCAAGCGGTCAAAGAGGCGGCTGCAAAAGAAAATCTTGGGACGCCACTCCAAGATGGCGCCAAGCAAGAGGGAGACCGCGTGGAAGAACCGGAAGAGAAGGGTGGAGCTTTGGAGGAACACGTGAGAGTTCGGCCAGCGACTCTGCCCACCGACGCAGCGTCGCTTCCGGCGACCACGCCTTTTTGCCGACGGAAGGGAGAATCGAGCGGAGAAGTGCATCCGCCCCTCCTGCCTGAAGCAATAACAGCAGCAACGACTCCCGCAGCAGCAGCTCCTGAACCGGGAAGAAGCAAGCTTCTTGGTCAGACAAGCTTCGTGGAGTAGAGGACATGTCACTGACATCGACATGGTGACGTTTAACGTTCACTGGCCTATTCCACTGCCAGCGCTTGTTGCAGGATTGATCGGTCAGAAAGCCCACGCATGGCATGACGGACAGCCAGAACATACCGGCGCAGAGCAACTTATGGTAGCGATTATCGGAGTCTCATACTGTGCCTGGAACCCCAGAACATGTGCGCTGGGACTGACATCACTCCAGCAAATAAGACCGTGGCCTCACCGTCATCTACGAAACCCTGGAACCATTCCAGTGACCATTCACAGCATAGATAGTTGTCTTGAAGTTTATGGGCGAAAGAACATCGTTGTCCTCCGCATTCTGCTTAACCCAATGGTTAACCAACCTGTGAGTAATCTTCTTCGTCAGTTGTCACGACTGCATATCCTGATGGAGCAAAGAATATCTAGTGATCGGGAACATCGATACCCGATCGAGGCTCAAGGCGCAAGACATAGCGAATCCGATCTCCCACCGTTGCCACAGAGAACACCAGAGGAGCGATTCATGTTTGGATTTCTCCTACAGCGTTCTGGACTCAATAAGCAGCAACTTCGGATTTTAGGGGACGCAGGCCAATGGCAACTGGCCTATGAGTTAGGTTTTCATTATTTAGAAGACCTGGATGATGAATCCTCAACGCTTTCATCTTGTTGAGTATACAAGAGAGGGTTGTCCAGAGTAGAGTTAAGTTTAAACGCCTGTATTATAT